TGAATCGAGGGATTTGCACTTGCAAACCACATCCCTGACTCCTTTTTCTCTCTTTGATTGTGTGTGAGGTGAAAAAAATCAAGGCCAACCCTTGCATAGGTCAGTCTTTTGGTAAGTGGCGTGAGGGACATAGCACATCATGTACTTAACTCTGTAAGTCTGTAAGTGTATCTCATGATGATTCATTAAAATAAAAATTAAAAAGAAAGTTTCCCTCTAAATTTGTTGAGATTTGATTTTGCTACTAAAATGAGTTGGCTTTTGTTAAAGTCCTTATCATTTGATGTGATCATATAATTTAAATTTGAACAAATCAGCCCTTCATTATTGGAATAAACCTGCTTGGTTACACATAACTTTTTGTTGTTTCTGGGCCATACCCAGCATGCTCAGGGTTTACTCCTAGTGGAACTCGGGGGACCAAAAGGGGTTTGAGGGATCAAACCCCGGATCTGCTGTGTGCATGGCATGTACCCTATCAGTTGTATTATGGCTCTGGTCAAATAAGTATAACCTTTTATTTGGGTGGGGGAGACCTGGCAGTGTTCAGGGGTTACTTCTGGCTCTACACTCAGGAATATGCTCCTGGTGGTGCTGAGGAAACTCATGGGATGCTAAGGATTGTATCTGGGTCAGCTGTGTGCAAAACAGTTGCCTTCCCTGCTGTGCTATCGCTGCGTCCAAGGCTTGGGAATTTTACTGATTTATTTTGAAGACCCAACACTTTAGTTTTTCTCTATTACGTTTTTGTTAATTTCACTGAACGTTGTTCTCTTTGTTTCTGGGCTACGCCTGGTGGGACTCAGAGAAACTGCCCTTGACTTGATGCATGTGGAACCCTGCAGCACCAGGGATCCTGCCACAGCTTTCTTCATGCACAATGTGCTCTCCAACCTATGGGCATCCTATTCAGCTCTAATTGCTCTTGTTTTCATTCTACCCTACTTTGCTTTTGTCTGTTTTTGGTGGGACACACCTGGCATTGCTCAGGGTTTACTCCTGACTTGCTTAGGGATCATTCCTGCAGGGCTCAGGGAACCATATGGTTTGCCGGGGTGCAAACCTGAGTCACCTGCAGGCAAGAGAAGCACCCTACCCACTGTAAATTCTCTCCAGCCCTCAATCTACTTTGCTTTGATGATACTGCAATGATTTGAAACTTTTTTGATTACTTTAAAAATCCATGAATTATTTAGAAGCTTACTGTTTAATTTTTTAGTGTCGAGTATTTTCAACAAATGCTCCAGTGTTCCAACATCAGTCCCAACATTAGTATGACCTTCCCTCCACCAATGTTACTTATATCTCTGCCATCCGCCAACCTGCCCCTTAGCAGACACAACAAATTTATTTCATATTGCATGCTTCAAACCCAAAGGAATGGCATATGAAATTATCAGAAAATCAGTAAAAATCAATTCATGATGATTGACTGCCCTACGATTTTAACCTATGTAAATTCAGATACAATAATATAATATGATTCATAATACAACATGATGTTTATTAAGTTTTCAGCTGGTGTCAAAAATTTATTGCATTCAAAATTTTTTGGGGTCTGAAGCAATAGCACAGTGGGAAGGGCATTTCCCTTGCATGCGGCTGACCCGGGTTCAATTCCCAGCATCCCATATGGTCCCCTGAGCACCGCCAGGGGTAATTCCTGAGTGCAGAGTCAGAAGTAACCCCTGTGCATCACCGGGTGTGACCCCAAAAAAAAGAAAAAAATATTTTGGTACTTTCATTTGTGTGTGTGTGTGTGTGTGTGTGTGTGGTGAGTGGGGGGGGCAGGCCTGGGGTCCAGAATCCACAAGAAGAGTCATCAGTCGGTGCACTGTATCACTGTAGCACTGTTCTCCCATTGTTCATCGATTTGCTCGAGCGAGCCCAGTAACGTCTCCATTGTGACACTTGCTGTTACTGTGTTTGGTAATCTTTCCTGTCATTAATAAAACTTTAAAAAAATTTCTCAACTTGTTTATTATGGAATTTACGTGGGATAGGCAAAGCCTGCAAATGTAAAATTTAGTTAAGCATGAAGAAAATTTAAAGGGGATCTCAAAAACCCAACTATGAATAACCAGTTCATGAGCTTTAATAAAATTTTAATAAAATTAAAGGGAGAAATCTGTATAGGCCTATAAAAGTACAGTTTTATCCTAAGGGAATATTGGTTTCATATTATAAAATAGTAAATTATATGGATTGCTCAGTGTCTGCAGACTGGAGAGATAGCACAGCGGTAGGGCATTTGCCTTCCATGTGGCAGGCCCCATCGACTCAGGTTCGATTCCTCCGCCCTTCTCGGAGAGCTTGGCAAGCTACCGAGAGTATCTTGCCCGCACGGCAAAGCCTGGCAAGCTCCCCTTGACATATTTGATATGCCAAACATAGTAACAACAAGTCTCACAATAGTGATGTTACTGGGCCCGCTCGAGCAAATTGATGAACAATGGGAGGACAGTGCTACAGTGTCTGCGTTAGTAAAAGATTGGAATAAACATTTCTGGATTGTAAAAATCTCATAAGACATAAAATATAGAAGCGTTCTGAGCCAATCATATAAAAGTTATAAAGTAATTTTAGCCTACGCCCAAAGGGGCTAGTGCAGTCAATTCTAGGAATTTAGGAGGCAAAGTCTTGGCATATGTCTTGCTGGGCCAAACTGATGAAACAGGGGTGCCTCGGTCCGTTCTGGAAATGGGGGTGGGGGACAGAATGGAGCAATGGTGGGGTCCTTAGAACTAACTGGGCACAGCTGATTGTCTTGGCAAGGAGGGTCTCGGCCTACCAGGCCTGTGAAATGGGACTTGAGCTGGCATCTTATTTTTTGCCACACCTGATAATTCTCAGGGGTTGCTCCTGGCTCTGCATTCTAGAATCATTACTGGCAGTTGTGGGAAGCCAAGAGCCCTCTCATAGACTCTGGCCATGGTTCCCATGTTAGGAACTGCTTGGGAGAGATATTGGTGACAGATTCCCAGGACTTCCTGATCTCAGCGGATGCCTGATCTATAGCCACACATCAGGCTGACAGTTATCTTATCTGGCCTTAGCTATAGTAACCTCCAGGATGCAGATATACAAATGTAAAGCTCAGGATGCACCTACTTCCATAAGACCCTTTTGATGTACAAATGTTTACCTTGAATGTTAGCTCTTGTTGCTGACTTCACCATGTATGGTTATACTGCCTCTGCTCCTGACTGGGATGCCCCGGACCCTACATAAACAGCCTGTAGCCCCCAATAAAGTGCTGTCCCTTTTTCTCTCTATCTCTAAACTATACTCTGTCTCTTGTGTCTTGTGTTCATTCGGTTGGTCCTTCCCTGCACCTATGGATCCTAGGGCCACCTCCGTGGGCCAGAGAGTGGTTTGCGGGCCCTCCGCAGGCAGTGCTCTGGGGACCATATGCCATGCCAGAGATTGAACCTGGGGTTGGTTGCGTAAAAGGCGGACTCCCTACCCGCTGTACCTAAAAGGTCTGCTGAAGTGGGTCGGGGAAAGGAAGAAACAGTCCAAGAAGAGAATTAGGCTGAAATAGGGTTCATTGAGAAAGAGAGCGCTCTGGAATGGATCTGATAAGCCCCCAGAGAGGCTAATGAAGATCTCAGGCACGTGTGTTTTAGATGCATTTACAAGGAAATAAAGGAGGCCTGGGGTCTCAAGGGGTATGAGGCTAACTCGGAACCAGGTCCTGTTTTGGCCTGCTGGGGTTGGTTGGTTGGGTCCAAAGTCCTGTATACTCCTTTCTTCCATTATGAGTGCCAGGGATTCTGGCAAGCCCCGGGGTGGTGTTCCTATGAGCTGTATATGCAGATTTCAAGGTGTCCATCTCTGGGCCAACCTAATGGTACCATTGCTCTGGTACTGGGGGAGTTCACTAGACCATTTAAGTGTACTACTTAATGATTCGTTTTCTTTTCATGTTCTCTTGTTTACTGCTTGATTTTTGTGATTTTGGGGACTTTTTGTTGTTTGTTTTTGCTTTTTGTAGATTACTTCAACATAAATAATAATGAAGTTGGTTTTTTAAAAATTCTTGGTGTATATGTTTGTATATATATGCTTTGCAACTGAATTTTCTGAATGTATATTTTTTAAAAATTAGATATTTTAAATACATATTTAAAAACCTTGGCATGTGTGTGATATGTGCTTTGCAACTGAATTGTCTAAGTGCAAATTAAATTTTAAATAAGAGGGTTAATTTTAAGGAAATGAAGGGGCTGGAGCGAATAGTACAGTGGGTAGAGTGCTTGCCTTGCATGCTGCTGATGGAAAATTGATTCGAGAAAGCACTTATGTCCTCCAAGTTTGCCAGAAGCACAGAGCTAGGTCTCTGAGCACTGCAGGTTGCCCCCAAACCAAAAACAATTTTTAATTTTTGTGGCCATACCTGGTTGTACCTGACACAGTTCTTGTGGGATCATGCTGTGCCAGCGATCAATTCTAAACTTCCCGCTTCAAAGCCTGGGCTCCAGCCTATTGAGGTAACTCTTGGACTGACTGAGACACTCTTGAGAACTTGTTCGTTTTGTTTACATGTAAGTTGGGGGTAGGTTCTGCTCAGCTGAAGCCGGTAAAGGTGTAGATGATGCAGAGTGGCCCCACTTGCTCACAGCCCTTCTTGGTCCTAATTGCTACCCCCCCCATCCCCTGCCATCTCATTGGCCCCACCACTCCTGCTCCGTTATTGGCATGCCTGATACAATCCCTAACCAATAGGAACTAGTCCTGTTAGCCAGTGGGACCAGGACAAGCCCTATAAAAGGCCTTGTCACAAGTTCCTGGGGTTATCCCACTTGAAACCAGTCTGGCAGACTGAGCACCAAGTTTGGTCTCTGAGTACCCAAGAGCATAGGGTAGGGCACCGTAGGGTAAGGAAGATTGGCCTAACTGACTTTGCCCGCCCAACCCCCAAACCCTCTTTTGAGGATCACCAGTTACTGCTACTGCAGATCTAAGCACCTGGAAGGTGACTTCGCCCCAAAGTGGACATGTCTGACTGTGTGCCCAGTGAAGGTGAGAGAGTTTGGGGAAAAGGAGTGGAGAAGCATCTGTGTCCATTGTTAGTGTGGTGGGAGGTACTCGAAAGATATTGCCATTGCTCTCTTTAATGTTTTTGTTTTGCCGGAGAGACAGTACAGCAGGTAGGGTGTTTGCCTTGCATGCAACTCACCTGGGTTTGATCCCTGGCATCCCATATGGTTCCCAGAGCACCTCCAGGAGTTATTCCTGAGTGCAGAGGCAGGAGTGAGCCCTTAGCATTGCAGGGTGTTACTCAAAAAGTGAAAAAACAAAACCCTACATTTTTCATTTCTCTCTTTCTTGCCTCCGTTGTTGCCCTGAGTGGTGTTTTGGGTTTTTGTTTGGTTGGTTTTGGTTTGAGGCCACACCTGGTGATGTCCAGAGATCATTCTTGACTCTACACTCAGGAATTAATTCCTGGCGGTGTTTGGGGGCCATAGGGGGTTCTGGGCCTCAAACCTGGGTAGTCTGTGTGCCAGGCAAATGCCCTGCCCACATAGTAATATCACTGGAGCTCCTGATGGGGTTTGGACTTGGTGCACTCTTGATGGGGAGTGCTAAGAGGGCCCCAGGCTTGGTGGAGAGCGTTATGGGGGGTGTTCCGGGTTTGGTGGGGGGCCCTAAAGGATTCCAGGGCTTGATGAAAAAAGGAATGCTGGTACATTCCTGGCCTGGTCTGGGGAGCACTAAAGGGTTCCTGCATTTAGTGGGGAGCACTCAGGGGGTCCCGGAAGCTATTGCCGTGCGGCTCACCCTCAGCTTATGTGTTGGTCAAACTCTTGACCTCGTGATTCCGGACAGGCGCTCTAGGCGCCCACCCCTAACATTACTCTCCTTGTTTGCCCCTCACAGAAGCTGCTGCAGGGCCTCTGCTGCCACGCGGGCAGAGCAGGCAGCGGTGGACGTGAGTGCCTCTGGCTTTGTATCTGAAGACGCAGGGAAGTGGGACCTGGGAGGGAGCCAAAGTGGGGCACTAGTGGGCTTCTGGCACAGCCACCGAGCAGGCGCCCTGAGGGGCAGGGGTACAGGGAGGGTCTGGTGAGTCAAGAATTTTCCCCAGACTTGACCGAGATTCTTCTCCTTTCCTGTCAGGAAACCCTTCACCATCAATGACTTTGAAATTGGGCGTCCTTTGGGCAAGGGGAAATTTGGAAGTGTGTACCTGGCTCGGCTCAAGGAGAACCACTTCATTGTGGCCCTCAAAGTGCTTTTTAAGTCCCAGATTGAGAATGCGGGGATGGAGCACCAGCTGCGCCGGGAGGTTGAGATCCAGGCGCACCTGCAGTGAGTTCAGCTTCTGTCCCCTCTTGATGCTTCTCTTTTTCCTCCTGTCTCTCATGTGCGACCCAGCACTGCCCCCAATAGGCGCCCATCTTTTGTTGGGGGAAGGGCACACGCAGCAGTGCTCAGGGCTCACTTCTGATGGGATTTGGGGGACTTTTTGTGGTGCCGGATTGAACCTGGGTCGGCTCTGTGCAAGGCGAGTACCTTTACCCCAATAAATGCTTTCTCTCGGGTTTTGGCCTTCTTCCATCTCTGTTCTTCTCTACACCTGGGGAAGCTCACCCATGTGTGAGAGCTGAACTGTGCCCTGTCCCCTCTTTCACCCTCCTAGATGAAACTCTGGCTCCTCTGGTACTGGTCACTCAGGACTTGATTCTTGGGGAATTTGGGAGGAAGGGTGCCCTCCTTGGGGGGCACTCGGGGCTTATCTTGGCTCTGTGCGAGGCACGTGCCATGTCCATTGTCCTGTCACTCAAGGCGGATTCTTGACCCTCTTTCATCCTTTGGCCAGACATCCGAATATCCTCCGCCTGTACAATTACTTCCACGACAGACGCCGCATCTACCTCATTCTTGAGTATGCGCCAAAGGGTGAGCTCTACAAGGAGCTGCAGAAGATTAAGAGGTTCGATGAGCAGAGCACAGCTACGGTGAATAGGAATTGCGGGTCCTGGGACCCTAAGTTTATTTGGGGCCAGTGAGAGATTACTCTTTAAGGCTTTCAGAGTATTCAGTTCCTGCTGCTGTGGAGAGGAACCCAGGGCAATAGCTAGTAGTGCAAGGATGGGGACCCATTTCTTCTCCCCCTCCTTTTTTTTTCTTTTTGGGTTACACCTAGTGATGCTTAGGGGTTACTCCTGCTCTGCACTCAGGGATTACTCCTGGCGGTGTTGGGGGACCATATGGGGTACTGGGAATTGAACCCAGGTCGTCTCTGTGGCAGGCAAACGCCCTACCTGCTGTACTATCACTCCGCCCCCCCCCCTTTTTTTTTAAAGGAACATCACATTCCAATATACTTAGACCAAAAATCATAGGAAGAGCAAAGGAAACATTTTCAGACATTTGCCTATGTATGCTGATCTAACCAGGGCAAACTTGATATATCAAAGGGGACTAGTGACTGCTGGTGCAAAAGTCTCTAAAGTGAATTTATCTAAAAGGAATTCACTGGGAGAGGTGCAAAGAAAAGAGTTTTCTCTGTGGTGCTGCTCTACGAGAGATAAAGTTCCCTAACCCACCTGTCCAGCCCCCCTCTTTGGTCTTTAACTAATCATTTCAATTAATTCTATTTCCTTAACTTGGTGCATGTCCAACACTCCAGGGTGCTTTTGAGTTTGTTTCTGAAATCTATATATTTTGTATTGACCACAAATCCTCCCAATTTTATCTTTCAATACCTTTGCCTAGAATTTGCTGGATTTAGTTCTCCTTTGCTCGGTGGATGCCATGTGGCCAGGTCTCACACACACCTGCACAGCACAGAAGTGCTCTGAAGCACATTCTGGCTGCTTTGTGGTGTAGCTCTTTTGGTTGCTGCACTAGAACATCCTTTTAGAGGTGCTCAGTGCATGGGGCAGCAGCAGGAATCAAACTTGCTGCATCAAACTTGTCAGGCATATACTTAAGCCACTGACTTGTGTCCTAGGCACCTGCCCTACACCCCATGAGGAAGGATAGAAGTTTGGGTTCTTTGGTTCTAATTCATAGAACCAAACGTGTCTTTTGCAAAGAGCATTGACAATTTCTGAAGGAGTCCACTGGAAAAATGAGTGGGACAGCTTAGAAACAGGAAATGAGATTTGTGGCAGACTCCGTTTGGAAAACTAGATTGATAATTGTTCTGGCGCAATGGTCAGATCAGCTTAATCTGTTAGAAAGATCTTCCAAATTTCTTCCTGTTTTTCCCTGATATTCAGCCGCTGACTTAGCTGAGCGAAACAGGCATAAACTCCACATTACTTTTTTAAACAAATTTTTTAATTTTTTCTTTTTTTGTGAAAAACATGACTATATTTTAAAAATTTTTTTTAGTTTTTATTAGACATCTTGAGGTACAGTTGTAGACTTACAAATTTTTGTGCTTGCGTTTCAATTATACAATGATCAAATACCCATCCCTCCACCAGTGCCCATTTCCCACCACCACGGATCCCAGTATCCCTCCCACCCCCCATCCCACCCTGCCCCTGTGGCAGGGCATTCCCTTTTGTTCTCTCTCTTCTCTTGGGTGTTATGGTTTGCAAAAGAGGCATTGAGTGGCAATCAAATTTTTAAATTTTATTTTCATAAAATAGTTGTTCACAATAATTGTTTGCATTCAACATTTCATCACCAATCCTACCACCATTACACCTTCCCACCACTATTATTTCAAATTTCCCCATCACCACCCAAGCATGCCCCATAGGCAGATGCTAAATAATTTATTTTGTACTGCTTGTTATGAATAGTATGAGATGTCATGCTGCTGCAAAAGCGGCCGCGTGCTCCTGGAATTCTAAATTTTTTTAAATACTGGGTCCAGAGGCATCTCTGCTGCATGCTGTTTTCTTCCAAGATGCATTTGTGAGTCTAAAACATCGCTGTTAATACGCTTAAATGGCGCCCAGAGGCAGCTCTTGGGCATAACTGCCCGGGAACCAGAGGGGTCGGGAGATGGGGGGAAGTCACCCCTCCCCAACTCCATGGGGCCTGGAGTTTTTTCAGCGGATTTGTTCTCATGCGTGGGAGTCTCGGGACAAGCCTGTGAAGATCAGCCATGAGCATGGTGGCAAATGGGTTCTGGAGATTTGTGGCTGCCAGGGTTCATTTGGGGTAAATGGACACACCTGCCACCACCCCAGTGAAATCAGCCTGGCACGGGGTGAGGAGACATCTCTGTGGCCACACAGAGACTCACAAGCTGCTCTCTCTGCTTGTGAGTCTCTGAGTCATGGCCATTTATATGCTTAAATGGCCTGATTTTGATCTTGTTCAGGATTTATGTATGTGCCTCTGAAGTAAGGCCGATAAAGGAGTTTGTGTAGCTGAGCCGGATGTGGTTTGTGGGCATGACTCCCACATACCTAACTTTTGGCCATTTAATTTCTCAGGAAACTTGATCCCAAGTTGTTAGAGTCCAGCAGCACAGCGGCAATTTTGGGGTATCAGGAAACCTGAGGGCACCATCAGACTGCTGATGCACTCGCCCAGCAGGTACAGGCTGACCTGCTGGACAGCACCATACCCCCTTCCTCTGGTTTTTTATATCATTTCTTCCAGTTCCCTTGGGCTTTGTAGGTCCTGGTAGCGTGTCCCCTTCGATACCACATACACTGGAGGGGAAGTCTCCACCTACCAATTCTGTAGGTAAGGGGCTGGGTGATAGTACAGCAGGTAGGGCATTTGTCTTGTATGTAGCTGATCCAGGTTTGATCCCTGGCACCTCATATGGTCACCCTAGCCCACTAGGAGTGATCCCTGAGTGCAGAGCCAGAAGCAAGTCCTGAGCACCACTAGGCACGACCTTAAAACCAACAAAAATAAGAATTGGCAACTGGAAAAGATTCTACCACAAAAGAAGTAAATAAAATTCTACCACAATATAAAATTCATGGTGTTGAGGGCTGGAGAAAGTAAGTACAGAGGTTAAGTCAATTGCCTTGCCTTCTGCAGTTCCCAGTTTGAATTCCAGCTCGTCATAGAGTTCCTCAAGCATCAACAGGAGTAAGCCATGAACATAGCCAGGAGTGACTGCCCCCTCCCCAATACCAAAACAATCAAAATCAAGTGAAATTCATGATTTACATTCGGCCTCAGCTGGTAGTTGTGGCAGGCTTCCTTTCAACTGCATTTTCCTTGCTCACCAGATCATGCAGGAGTTGGCAGATGCCCTGACATACTGTCATGAGAATAAGGTCATTCACAGGGATATCAAGCCAGAGAACCTGCTTCTGGGTCTCATGGGAGAGGTGAAGATCGCAGACTTTGGCTGGTCTGTGCACACCCCTTCTTTGAGGTAGGTTGGTGGATCACAGGGCTTGGGTGTTGGTTGGATGATTCAACTGTTCTATTTTACATCTAACATTCATACACTAACTCAGGTGTGTGTTTGAATACTGCCTTTCCCCAAAGCATCTGTATGTGTTTGTAAATTTAAAGAATATGGCCCACAGGCCACGGATACAACTCCCTGGTAAAGCACACGTCTTGGGGGTCAAAGTGATATTACAGTGGGTAAGGTGATTGCCTTGTACATGTCTGACCTGGGTTTGATCTGGGCATTTTATATGGTCCCCCCAAGCATACAGCCATGAGTGATTCCTGAGCACAGCCAGGAGTGAGCCCTGAGGACCGCTGGGTGTAGTCCAAACACAAAAACCAAAAACCACATACCTTTCAAGTATGAGACCAAGGTTCTATTCCCTAGTACTATCCCAAAATAGGAAATACAAAAAAGATGGTTGTTATAATCTTTTTTAAACAATATCTCAACATAATTTTATCAATAAATTTCCATGAAAATAAATTACGAGGGGCTGGACAATAGTACAGTGGGTAGGCATTTTCCTTGCATGCAGCCAATTGGGTTCAATCCCTGGCTTCCCGTATAGTTTCCTGAGGACTGCCAGGAATAATTCCTGAGCATCGCCAGGTGTAGCCCAAAAATAAATATGAAAATTAAAACAACAAAAAATTATTGCTCAGTAATTCCGGAAATATATTTTACTTGTCAGTAAACTGAAAAATATCACTCATTTATTTGGTTCAGATTGAGGCATCCTCAGGATGTTCCAAATCTTGTTTCATGCCAGAATATTGTTTGTTTCCTGAGTGCATGGGATCCCCACAGTGGAACTGAACCACCAGGACGTACCAAGGTCCCAGGGCTGGGACCCAGGATTCCTATGGACTGTCTTTCCTGCGCCATTGCGCACTGTCGTGTGTGTGTGTGTGTGTGTGTGTGTGTTTACCAGTGATTTAACCCAGGCTTCACACAGGAAGGGCAAGCACTGCATCCCCATCCACTGGGGACACTCGTTTCCAAACATTCCACAATCCATGTGAGCTGAATAATTTTATGAGTAATTCCAAGAAAAATTTGTGGGTTCCAGTACTTGCTTTCTCTAAATGTTGATCCATTGGTAGAACACACCATCTCCAAACTCCTCTCTAGGACATTGCCAGGGATTTTCTAGGGGATCCCATCTCACTGGAAATTGGGCAAGATTTTCCTTAATCCAGACCTCTGTGCACTGCTCCCTCCCCGATTTCCTCTAGGAGAAACACAATGTGCGGGACCCTGGATTATTTGCCTCCGGAAATGATCGAGGGGAGGACATACAATGAGAAAGTCGATCTGTGGTGTGTGGGTGTGCTGTGCTATGAGCTGCTGGTGGGGAGTCCACCCTTTGAAAGTGCTTCCTACAATGAGACATATAGACGCATTCTTAAGGTGGGTTCACACTGGGTGCTCCTGGAGCCAAGTGTTTGCTAGGTCAGTGGCTTCTCAGGGACCCCCCCCCCCCAAAAGCTAGTTCCAGAATCCAGAAAAGCACATTAAGGGATTTGGGGAGATACTTGCCTTGTGCGTGATTGAGCCTAGTTGAATCCCCGCATACTGCATATGGTTATTTGCCTGTAGAGAGTGATCCCTGAGCTCTACAGAGTGTGACCCCCAAACCAATGAATTAGAAAAAGATAAGCCAACTCAGGGAATGAGTATAACTTGGACAATGGAGTGAACCAGCCTTCTCTCCTCTCCCGGCATTATCAGGTGGATATTCGGTTCCCCCAGTCCATCCCTGCAGGTGCCAGAGATCTGATAACCAGACTGCTCAGACTCCAGCCCTCAGAGCGCCTGCCCCTGTCTGGCATCCTGGAGCACCCCTGGGTCAAGGCAAACTCTAAGAGGGTGCTGCCTCCATCCTCACAGCTGACTTCCTGAGCACCAGCAGCATAAGAGTGCAAGAGCACTGTGCTCTGTGTGTTTGTTTTCAAGATATGTTTAATAAAGGCTGAGTAGTTTTTCACCAGGTTTAGTGAGTGGGTTGGTGTGATGGACAGAAACTTTCTTTCCCTAGAAACTTCCTTGAGTGCAGTCCAGAGGGTGCCTCTTTGCTTGAAACCTTGTTCCTCCTTGGATCAGGTACCCAGGTGGTGCCTGACTCCCCAGCCATGCCAGTGATTCCTGGACTCCCCTTCTTGCTCTTCATATTGTCAGGCGTTGCCACTGGAAAGGCAAGGCTGAGCGATGTGCCACTGTGTTTGCAGTGGCAGCCGTACTGCCACCGCCCTACTGAGGGCTTCTCTTCAGACAGCAGCCGCGGGGCTGGATCGGGCTCTGCTTGTCGGTTCCTCCGTTCTGTGCCTGCTGGCTCCCCGGCATCAGGCCTGCGACCCCACGTGCACACACGAGGCTTCTAGTGCCCAGGCCTTGCCCGTGGGACCCTCGGTTTCTGTGCTATCAGGGACTTGGCGAGTGCAGCTTGCTGAACACTGCAGACCCCGCGCTGGTCTCAGCGCCTCCCTCGGGGATCAGCCTTCTCAGAGTGGCACCAATGGGAGGTGATGGCCTACCCCTAGACGCCCCAGAATACTAAGGGCCCTCGAGTATCGGCTGGGGCATTCTCCACGAGGAGAGAATCCCAAGCGGGGCTCCAGCGAGCTGGGCGGCCCCCCTGGGTCCCAAAACCGGGGTGTGCCTTTGCCTCTTCATGCGTCGGACGCGGGCCTCTCCCCGCGTGTCGCTGGCCACAGGTGCGTGCTCTGACGCGGACTGCGGGCTCCACACCATAGAAAACACTCTAGAAGGGGCCGCGGCCCTGCGGGAATACTACAACACCCGCAAAGCTCTGCGTTGCTCCCTGCCGACCCCGGTCGAAGAACTGCGGGCGGGGGGAGGGGGGACTTCCGGTGCCTGGAGGCTTCGTCATCGGGCCGCGACGGCTCTGTCCGCGCCAGTGGAGGGCGGCGGCGGCTGTGTGGAGCGCGGGGGAGGCCAGAGCACCTGCCCGCGCCTCGTCTTCCGCAGGACGTTCCTGCGTAGATCCGTGCGAAGGCCTGTCACCCCCGCACACTGTGTCTGTCGCCGCCGGGCGCCCTTCACGGGCCCCACAATGGCGGCAGCCTGGGTGGGCCCCGCGCAGGTGAGTCTCCACCGTTTCTCGGCTGGGGGCGCCGAGTGGCTGTCCGCGCGCGGTGGTTCCAGCCGCGTCGTTGACGGCCCGACGGTGGTCACCGTTCCCATAGCCGCAACCCTGGGACCACGGAAACTCCAGGCAGACGGACAAGGGACAGACCCGGTGCGGAACGAGAACCCCGACGCGCAGCTCCTGCACCGCGGCGGTCGGGACCGACCCTCTCTCGCCAGCCCGTGCCGAGTTACTCTTGCGAGAGGCCCCGCGTCGCCTACGGTTACAGGCCGGGGAACAGGCTGCGGAATCCGGTGACCGCGACTCGGTCCATAATTGACCAAACACCCGCGCGCCGGTGTCCGGTCATTCACCTGATTGCCCAAGTATTTCAAGTATTGCCCAGCTGGCCCTGGAGCACTGTGGCCCCGTCGGACTCCACGTTTAAACGCGACTTGTGCTCAGCTTGGATTTGTTCGTTGCTGTAGGCTTGTTTTGGTTTTGGGGACGAAGCCCGCCGGTGCTCAGGTATCGATCCTGGCTCTGTACTCGGGGATCACTCCTGACTGTGCCCAGCGTTCTTTTTCTGGCACCACATTCAGGGCTCACACTGGGGGCTCACGCATAGCTCTATGCTCAGGGGTCATTCCTGTCCCTGTCCAGGAACGCAGTGTGGTGCAGGGATGAAATCCGGGTTGACCTATACCTGGCAAGTGCCTTTCTTACGGAACTTGTGATGCTCCGACCGTGGCCAAACGCTGGGTTTGAGTCGTTGAAATACTTGGGCAATCAGGTGCGGTGCAGAGCAAAGCCAGAAGCACTGAGCTCAGAGTACCAACAGCCCACGAAACCCCTAGAGCAAATGCCATAACATGTTGAAATGATAGCTCTGCAGTAACGTGTGCTCTTTGCTTATGCCATTTGTTGGACAGTTCTATTAGCAGACAATGTGTAGAATGTGGTAATAGGGGTAATATTAACAAGATAAACATCCTATGAAGTGTTTTCTGTCAGAGTTACCCCAGCACCATGCATGGTTCTCTTTGCGCCCCGGAGTGATCCCTGAGTACTTCCACTGGGTGTGGCCCCAAAACAGCAAACTCAAATGCAGGGGACTTTAAGAGGAGGGGATGTTGCTCAAGTGGTAGAGCATGTAGTTCACCAGCCAGCAGAGAATGTGGAAAATGTTGGGGACTTGCAGAGATTAAGATTTGCTGCATTGCTCTGTTTGTGCATGCACCAAGCTGGACATTCTACGCCCTGGTACTGCTGTTCTTACCATTACTGATAATTAATATATCATAATTTTCTTTTTCCTCTGAAGTCTCAGGACCCTTACGATATGGTGAGGTGTTTTGTCCTTTACCCTTTGTGGTTTTGAATGTCCCCTCATAGGAGTCTTCTGTACACTGTTGTATTGTGTTCATGGAGGGACACACCTTCACCAGCAATGCAGACAGAAGCTTGGTTCTATCTAGCAATCCCAAGGCAAACTTGTGCACCTGTTTTCCTTCCCAGGTGACTGTGACCTTCAGTGATGTGGCTGTGACTTTTACCCAGGAGGAGTGGGAGCAGCTGGGCCCAGCCCAGAGGACCCTGTACCAGGAGGTGATGCTGGAGAACTGTCGGCTCCTGGTGTCCCTGGGTAATGGACCCCTCTATTGCTGCCCCCAGCAGCCCTGACACATCCTTCATTCTCTGTTGGCAGGTGGAGATGTCCTCAGGAGTCTTCCTCCTCCCCCAGCCTCACCTCTCTGCCTTGCCTCCCTGTGTCTTTGGGCAACAAACCAACCTCTGGCTCTCAGAAAGTGGTGGGAGGAAATAGGGGTGTTCTGCAGAACCAAAGACAGGAATACCCGTAGACTGCTGTGTGGGCTGGGCCCACACCCACTATGTTCCTGTGAATCTCTTGTCCTAATTCTGTCTTTATTATGGCCTTTGTCAGTCCATGAATTTTACTCAGTGGTAGAGCACTCAATATGTGGCCCTTGGTGTAATATCACATTCCCGCCTTATATTTGGATATTTTTCAGGAAACTTTATGTTGGTTTGGGGTCATACCAGCATTCATAGAGTGCTTGGGCTTTCCCTGGCACAGTTCTCAATAGATCATATGTGGTGCTGGGGATTTGAATCAGGTCGGTAATACAAGACAAATGCCTTAACCTCTGTCCTGTCTCTCTGGTCCCTACAGTAAACATTTGTGGGGGGGGGGGGGGCACAGAGATTGGCTTAAAGGCTAGAGCATGTGCTTTGCGTGTAGGTTCCTGATACCATATGGTCTCCCGAGCACTGTTGGGAGCTAACTCCAAGCACCAAGCTAGCAGCCACCAAACCGTATCTTCTGTGCCCCCAAATCCAACCATAAGGCAGGTAAATCAAGTAACTGGACAAAATGTCACTTCCTGGTCCCTCAGTTCACCTACCTTTCTGATGTCAATACTAGTCCTGCTGGGCTTTTTGCTTATATTTTGACTCTGATCTCTGTTTTCTCCCTGTGGGTGTTCTCAGGCATTTCATCTCTTCACATGGATTGTCTGTCACACTTGTTTACTCCCATCACTCCAGTTAGATCCTTAGCAGTGGCTCTTCTGTGTCCCAGCAGACACATTTGGCGTATCTGGAATTTCCTGTATTACCACAAGGATGGAGATGCTATGGGCATCTAGAATGTTTCTAAAGATTTTCATGCACAGCATGCAAGTAACCTTCCCCTCTCTCCAGTAACTAATTTTCTGGGCCATCATGTCCGTCTTGCCAAGATTGGGAACCCTTGCATAGGTGGTGCTTGGGGGCTGGAAAGGTGGCTCAGAGGGCTAGACTCCCTACTTCAAATGCTGGAGCCTGGCATTTCATCTCTGCGGCACTAGGTGGTCTCCTGAGCCACCAAGAGAAGTTCCCAAGCACTGCCAGCTGTATCCCCAAACAGAAGCAAATGAAAGAAATTAGACAGTACATGAACACTCTTGCCATCCCTATAGAGGCACACTGAGGAAGCCAATCCTTTCAGGGAAGCCTCTAGTTCATGCCAAATCTTTTTTTTTTTTTTTTTTAATTAAACCACACCAATTTTGTTTTTTGTTTTGTTTTTGAGCCATTCCTGGCAATGAACTAGAGTGCAGAGGTTTACACTTGGCTCTGCACTCAGGGATCACTCTTGCCAGTAGTTGGGGTCTGTATGGAGTGCTGGGTTGCTGGGGATTAAACCACGGTCACCTGTGTGCAAGGCAAACATCCTACTTTCTATACTGTTGCTTCGGCCCTCTGTACTAGTTTGGACTGAGTATTTGCAATAAAAACTCCTGTTTAATATGCTATCTAGCACTAGGTCATAGGGCAGTATTCTGTGTGAGCAGAAATAGATTTCTTTGAGATTTGCTCCACATCTTGAAGTCTCAAACTATAGCAGAGGTTTTCAGTTACCCCCTGCCTTCAGCTGACCTCTGTTTGGGGTGTGTGTGTGTGTGTGTGTGTGTGTGTGTGTGTGTGTGTGTGTGTGTGTGCTGGAAATCTAATCCAGTGGTTCACACACACGGCATGAGTTCTACTGTGATCTATATTCTTGCTCAGAGGTTTTCTTCCTTTCCACAAAAATGATTGTTTCCTCTTTTTCTCAACAGGGTGTCCTGTGCCCAACCCTGAACTGATATACCATCTGGAACACTGGCAAGAAATACAGAAAGTGAAAAGAGACCCCTCCAAGAATTTCTGTCCAGGTAGAAGCCAGGAGTGGGCAGGTGGGGAGACTGGGAGCACTAAATGGGGCTCTGGGAATTGCTGCTTGTTGTTCTCAGGTGTGTGGGACTCATGAGTCCCTGAGATCCCTCGTGCCCTATCTTTGGAGGTCAGAGAGGTGTATCTTTCTCGAGGTCTTAGCTGCTTAGGCTTAGAGTTGGGCTTGCAGATGTAGTGGCTGTGTTGCAGGTCAAGACTTAGCCATGTCCTTGTTCACCAGGGCTGCCCCATAAGCATACAGCTTCAATAACAGCTCAGCGGAACTGGAAGGGGTTTGTCCTTTTATGACTAGCTTATTTCACTTGCATAATATCACCAACATTTGTTCATACTAGACCATATGTCAAAAGTCTACCTCCCTTGGGGCCAGAGCAATAGTACAGCGGGTAGGGCATTTGCCTTGCACATGGCCAACCCGAGTTCGATCCCCGGCATCCCATATAGTCTCCCCAGCACTGTCGGGAGTAATTCCTGAGTGCAGAGACAGGAGTAACCCCTGAGCATTGTTGGGTGTGACCCAAAAAGCAAAAAGAGTCTACATCCCTTCTCCTCCCCTCACTTCTTCCAACACCCAGAGATACTCAGGGCTTGCTTCTGTATCTGTGCTCAGGGATCATTCCTGGTGAGCTCAGGAGACTGTATGGGTACTAAGGATTGAACTTGGGTTGGCCACATACAAGGAAAGTACCCTACCCGCTGTACCTATCATCTGGCCCCATAAATTTATTTTAAAAGAAAAATTTGGGGTATAGCAAGTCTTCCATGCAGTTCTCAGGGGCCTGAGGATCACTTATGGTGACTATCAGGCTGGATGGTTCAGTGGTTGGCCCAAGGATGTGGTACACCAACACTGTGAGCTTGGGGCCAGGACCATCCCAGTGCACCTCAGGAACTCCAGAGCTAAATAGACTCTGCTGGGGGTGCCTTTTTTTTTTTGGCTTTTTGGGTCACACCCGGCAATGTACAGGGATTACTCCTGGCTCTGCACTCAGGAGTTACTCCTGGCGGTGCTCAGGGGACCATATGGGATGCTGGGAATCGAACCTGGGTCAGCCGCATGCAAGGCAAACGCCTTACCCTCTGTGCTATTTCTCCAGCCCCGGGGATGCCATGTTGCGTCAGGGACTCAACTAGGTTGGGTGTATGCAACGAAGTATCCCTAACCCTTGTGCTATCTCCATAGTGCAGGCTTTTAACCTTACTCAGCTCTGTATGGAGTCACAGTGCACAGCTTTAGAAACTAGAGGATCCTCATTCATGCATCTCTCTGGAAATATGGGTTTCCCTGCGTGAACAAGAATGTACAAATATTTCATCGGGATCCTACTTTTACTCTGTTTGGATATATAGCCAGTGGTGAAATTGTTATATCATGTAGTAAATTTTTATTTAAAAATGTTTTTGTTTATTGTTTGTTTGTTTGGATTTGGGGCCGCACCTGCAAGTGCCTGGCGTAGTTCAGGGGCCCAAATGGGTTGCTAGGGATCCAGCTCAGGTCGGCTGCATGCATGGCAAGTTTCCTTCATACTATACTCTGTTTGGGCCCATGTAGTAATTTTTAAAAGGTAGAGTTGGCATATAATTTTTTAAAATTTTATTATATTACCATGATTTACAAATTTATAGTCAGGTTTTAGACATACTATGTCCCAGCACCAGTCCCACCATCATTGTCTTCTTCTCTCCACCAGGGTTCCTTCCCACCCCCGTATCTCCAGAATGGTGTCATGACAGGCACATTTGCATGTACTTAAATTTGGTTGTTGAACTTTGGGTCTCTCGTTTTTAGCGATGCTGACTATGGTTTAGATATTTAGCCATATCCCCCCTTTACTTACCAATGTATTCAGATCTCCTTGATCCCTGCTCCCTATTGCTTCTATCACCTCTTTCTTTTCTTTTTTTTTTCTTTTTGGGTCACACTGTGCAATGCACAGGGGTTACTCCTGGCGGTACTCAGGGGACCATATGGGATTCTAGGAATCAAACCCAGGTCGACCGCATGCAAGACAAGTGCCCTACCCACTGTGCTATCACTCCAGCCCCCTGTCTATTACTTCTTCCCCTTATTTATTTTGTTTTGTGTGATTTTGGGTCATACCTGATTCTGCACTCAGGAATTACTCCTAGCATTACTCAGGGGACCATATGGGTTGCTGGGGATCAAACCCAGGTTGGCTTCGGGCAAGGCAAATACTCTACCTGCTGTACTGTCGCTCCAGCTCTCTCCCCGCTCCCCATGATTTCTTTCCTTAAGTTTTCTTGGGTCTTTATTTTTCTTCCAAACTTATGAATTCAGTTCCTACAATACATTCTCTGATTCTATCATCTTCATATTTAAATATTTGAGTTCTAGTGAAATTTTGGGGGAGGTCGAGGTTGGGCCACACCCGGCAGTGGTGATCAGTGCTGACTCCTAACTTTGGGCTTAGGAATCTCTGCTGGCGAATTGCTCAGGGGACCATACTGGGCGCTGTAATCGAACCCAGGTTGGCCGAGTGCAATGAAAGCACCCTAACTAACTGTACTGCTCCAGCTCTAATCCTGGTATAATTTTTATTTCAAGTTTTATACTTTTCTGCTTCAGAATTTTGAAATACTTTTTTTTAATGCCTGAAGCTAGAAGCACTTTTTGGTATTTCTGTTTTGCTGATAGCAGTTTTCTTGCTCTTCTTTTTTTTTTTTCTTTTTTTTTTTTTGAGTTGGGGGTACACCTGGTGGTGCTCAGAGGTTATTTCTGGCTTGCACTTAGAAATTACTCCTGGCAGTGCTCAAGGGATCACAAGGGATACTGGTGATCAAAACCAAGTCAGCCTCATGCAAGGCAAGTGCCCTACCCACTGTTTTCTCTCTCTCTCTCTCTCTCTCTCTCTCTCTCTCTCTCTTTCTCTCTCTCTCTCTGGTCACAGTTCTCGGTCTCTTTCTGCACACTCAATTATGACCTTAAGCCTTTGGACTCTAAATCCAACTCCTGAGATTATTTTTTTTTCAGTGTGTTCTATACTGAATCATCTTCATATCTCTGTGTAGGGGATCCAAGTTTATCCTGTTTGCGTAGGTATGTAGTTGCAGTTGACTGTCTCCTTTCTAGCCCTCTAATCTCTTACCAAACTGTTCCCTGTGGGGTCTCCCATTCATGTCATCAATAGTCCCAAGGACAAGGAAAGAAATTGCTCTCTGGGATATAGCGCAAGCAAAACATAGAAGACACAGAAGCACCTTTTTTTCTTTTTTGCCTCTTGGGTCACACACAGTGATGCTCAGGAGTCACTCCTGGCTCTGCACTCAAGAATTACTCCTGGTGGTACTTGGGGGACCATATGGGATGCTGGGGATCGAACCCGGGTCAGCCGCATGCAAGGCAAACACCCTACCCGCTGTGCTATCACTCCGGCTCCCAGCACTATTTTTTTAACCTTTTTTTTCCCTACAAAGCTGATTTTGTTTCTTCTGATGATATAACTGATAATCTCTTTTTTTTTTTCCTATTGGACCTTTTTCAGGTAACAAAGGAAACCTTCTGATCACAGAACTTACCTTTTATGAGCCAGCTGTATCTGAGGGAACCTCACTCCAGGCAGAGCTGATCCGAGGAGGCCCTGGAGACTCCCAGGAGTGCCAGACCAGGGACCAGAATGGAGCATCAGAGGTGCTGGGAGGACATGTTAGGACACAACAAGACCCTCCCTCAGAGATGCTCCCTGAGAACTTGAGCCCTGAAGGGGGTGACTTCAGGTCAGCTGAAGGCATGTGTGCAGGAATCTCACAAGAGCCATTCCCTGCTGGCAGTGCTGTCCTTAACCAGAACATCTGGGAGTCAGGGGAAGATCCTGTGGTCCAGGAAGAGGAAAATTTCTTCAAATGCAATGAATGTGGGAAGGTTTTTAACAAAAAATGCCTCCTTGCTCGACATGAGAGGATCCATTCTGGAGTGAAACCCTATGAGTGCACAGAGTGTGGGAAAACCTTTAGCAAGAGCACTTACCTCCTTCAGCACCACATGGTCCACACTGGTGAAAAGCCCTATAAGTGCATGGAGTGTGGGAAAGCCTTCAATCGCAAGTCACACCTTACACAGCACCAGCGCATCCACAGTGGAGAGAAACCTTATAAGTGCTCTGAGTGTGGGAAGGCCTTCACTCACCGCTCCACTTTTGTCTTACATAACAGGAGCCACACTGGAGAAAAACCCTTTGTCTGCAAAGAGTGTGGAAAAGCCTTTCGAGACAGGCCGGGTTTTATTCGCCACTATATCATCCACAGTGGTGAGAATCCCTACGAATGCTTTGAGTGTGGCAAGGTCTTCAAGCACAGGTCATACCTCATGTGGCATCAGCAGAGTCACACTGGGGAGAAGCCGTACGAGTGCAATGAATGTGGGAAAGCCTTCTGTGAGAGCGCAGCCCTCATTCACCACTACGTCATCCACACTGGGGAGAAGCCCTTTGAATGTCTTGAGTGTGGGAAAGCCTTCAACCACAGGTCGTACCTCAGGAGGCACCAGCGCATACACACCGGGGAGAAGCCCTATGTGTGCACTGACTGTGGAAGGGCTTTCACCCACTGCTCTACTTTCATCTTGCATAAGAGGGCCCACACAGGAGAAAAGCCATTTGAGTGCAAAGAATGCAGAAAAGCCTTTAGTAACCGAGCAGACCTGATCCGGCACTTTAGCATTCACACGGGGGAGAAGCCTTTTGAGTGCCTAGAATGTGGAAAGGCCTTCAACCGCAGGTCAGGTCTCACGAGGCACCAGCGTGTCCACAGTGGAGAGAAGCCCTATGAGTGTGGGGAGTGTGGGAAGTCCTTCTGCTGGAGCACGAACCTGATCCGCCACTCGGTCATCCACACAGGAGAGAAGCCCTATGAATGTAGCGAGTGTGGAAAGGCCTTCAGCCGGAGCTCTTCCCTCACACAGCATCAAAGGATTCACACTGGGAGAAACCCTGTTGATGTGGCAGGTGTGGGAGGGCCCGACACCAGTGGGCCGATCTCGGATGACCTCCAGGAACTCCTGTCCAGGAAAAACCTTTTGGATATAACCACTGAGGAAAATCTTTTGCCAGAGAAGACATCTTCCACAGAATCTGGTCATTCATGCCAAAGAAAGACCTCTCAGATTTCTTCCCTGTAAGGAAAATATTTTGCAGAATATGCTTTGTCATCTAAAAAGTAATGGTGGAAATTGACCCATCCTAGAGCCTTATTCTATATCGAGCATCATCGAGGAAAATGACCCTATGATTATTTTGAACCCAGGAATATCTTTAAATATGGTTTTCTTTTTCTCTTTTTTCCCTTTAGTTTACACTCCAGCATTATCTCAGGAATTCTTTTTACAGGAAGGAAGAGACTTAGAATGTAAAATTATCTACAGATTTTTTCTTTTGGACAGCCTTGCCAAACTGACATTTGCATGGATTCCTACTTTTCCCTCTGAGAGAGATTCTTTCAGAGTGAAAGACCTTTACTATATGTCTTTTAAACACATTCATTGTAGTTGAATAAGACAGTGGAAAACAAATCTGGAGATTTTTCATTGAATGTCTTCTAAACTATGGTGTTGACTCTTTTTTTTGGGGTGGGGGGTCACACCCGGTGATGCACAGGGATTAGTCCTGGCTCTGCACTCAGAAGGTGGTGCTGGGAGACCATATGGGATGCTGGGAATCGAACCCGGGTTGGCCGCATGCAAGGCAAATAGCACTACCCATTATGCTTTTGCTCCAGCCCCCCATGTTAATTCTTAAGGAGCTTAATTTTTGTGAGGAGATACTAAGTTGTAAGTCATCAAGTATATATTTGCAGAGGTGGGTGCATTTTGTGTTATTTAAGACTGGTTGAGGTTTTGGCTTTTAGAAAAGAAAACTGCTATTTCTGGAGTTTGGTTTGGTTTATTGCTATACCTTTGTGGTAATTTTATTAACTTGATAAATTTGACTTAGCCCTCCTAGTTATGTTGATGATGGTTTAGAGAAGCCTTTGATTTTTACCCAAAAAAAAGGTAAGCAATTTTGGTAGAAACTGAATTAAATTGGTAGTTTGTTGAGAATTGGTATCTATACTGTCTTCATTTTATAAATGCATTATATCCCTACTTTCATATTGCTTGATGTAGTTCATTACTGTTCTATAAAATTTAGTATAAGTATGTCAATTTCATTTTTTAATAATAGGTTTTGGGCCACACCCGGCGATGCTCAGGGTTTACTTCTGTCTCTGTGCTCAAGAATTGGTCCTAGCAGTGCTAAGGGGACACATGGGATGCCTAGGAATTAAACCTCGATTGGCTGCATGCAAAAGCAAGTGCTCTATCTCCTGCTGTGCTATCACTCCGGCTCCAGGTTTCTCATCCTTTTTATATTACATCCAGGTGGTTTTGTTTTTCTTGATTGTGAATGAGAGAGAAAGATAGGGGAGATAGTGAAAGATTTAGATCCAGATAGGGCCTGAGCAATAGGTGAATAAGGTGCTTGCTTTGCACATTGACTTGGGTTTTGCACCTCAAGCAGACCTAGAGTGATCCTTCAGTTACTGTCAGGCATAAGCCCAGAGCACTGCTGGCAGTGGCCCAAAACAGATTTATATCTAGGTGGGGTTTTTTTATTGATTATAAGTGGAAGGGGAGAGGGAGAGACTTGTGTGTGTGTGTTGGGGGGGGGGGGTATGTTAGTGTATGTGTGTGGGCATTTAACTCAGGGCCCCTCAAACCTGAGGCTTGCATTCTGTGACCACATCACATCCCTGGCCAGTATTTTTAAAGTCCCGGTTTCCTTCATTCAATATTTGTAATATATGGAGCTAAAACTTTTTTAATGTTATTTTTATGTCTTGCAACCTTTACTGTAGTCCTTTATATTGATGGAATACTTGATATCTTCTACAGAGAAAAATTTACAAAGAGACAGTTTTGTTTTCTTCCTATCAATATATCTATTATTTTATTTTATTTTTTTATGTGGGCTGGAGCTATAGCACAGCGGGTAGGGTGTTAGCCTTGCACGCAGCAAACATGGCCGACCCGAGTTCGATTCCTTCACCCCTCTCAGAGAGCCCGGCAAGCTACCGAGAGTATCTCGCCAGCACGGCAAAGCCTGGCAAGCTCCCTGTGACGTATTCGATGTGCCAAACACAGTAACAAGTCTCACAATGTTACTGGGCCTGCTCGAGCAAATCGAACAATAGGAAGACTGTGACCGTGACTATTTTTTTATGTAGGACTACTGCTATTTATTCAGCCACTGACTAGCTGATTGAATTGGGCATAAACTCCACCTTACTTTTTTTTCATTTTTTATAATTTTATTTATTGAATTACCGTGAGAGCTTTCGGGTTTAAGTCTAAGTCATACAATGAAACTCCCATACCTTCACCAATGCTCATTCTCCACCACCAAAAACTCCAGAATACCCCCATCCCACACCCTCCCCCTACCTGTGGGGCAGATGATTTCCACGATACTCTCTCTCTACTTTGATCACTTTCAGTATTTTGACACCAGACCCACCATTATTATTTGGGATTTTACCCAAACACTCAGATCTGCTGAAAAGACAATTTGTTTTCTATTGCTAGTTAAGAATAGCATATGATGTCGCGTGGCTACAGTAGTGGCCTCGTGATTTTGAAATTTTGAAATTTTAACACTTAAATCTGGAGGGATTTCTGCCAAAACCTGCTGGGTTCCGAGATTAGTTCCTGAGTCTCTGGGATCATGGCTGTTAAGCAGCTTGATCAGGAGCCAGAAAGGTCATTCATGGGTGGCGACTCGGGGTCTCGTTGGGACGGGGAGGAAAGGGCCAACTCCACCCCCATCCCATGAGGCCCCGCAAGTCTCGTCACTGAGGGCCCAAACCTGACTATCCAGTGACCTCTGGAGGATGGCAGCCACCAAGCCACCTAGGGGGAGCAGGCAGAGGGACAGCACCCTTTCACCCCTGGGGTGGCCTGGCGACAGTAACCTACTTCAGGGACCGGGTGCGTTTCTACCAAAAGCTCCTGGGTGTTGAGATTTGTTTCTGAGTCTTTGGGATCATGGCCATTAAACGGCTTGATCAGGAGCCAGAGAGGCCATTTGTGGGCAGCAACTCAGGGTCTCGTTGGGATGGGGAGGAAAGGGCCAGCTCCACACCCATCTCGTGAGGCCGCACATTTCTCATCACTGCGAGCCCAAACCTGACTGTCCAATGGCTTCTGGCAGATGACAGCCAACAAGCCGCCAAGGGGGAGCAGGTGGAGGACAGCACCCTTTCCCATCTGGGGTGGCCCGGCGACAGTAACCTATCGTGGACGCATTTCTGCCAAAAGCTGCTGGGTTTCGAGATTTGTTTCTGAGTCTCTGGGATCATGGCCATTCAACAGCTTGATCAGGAGCCAGAGAGGCCGTTAGTGGGCGTCGACTCGGGGTCTCGTTGGGATGGGAGGAAAGGGCCGGTTCCACCCCCATCTGGTGAGGCCCCATGTGTCTCGTCACTGCAGGCCCAAACCTGACTGTCCTGTGGCCTCTGGAGGATGGCGGTCACTGGGCCGCCAGAGGGTAACAGGCCAAGACACGAAACCTATTCCCACCTGGATTGGCCCAGCACCAGTAACATACTGCAAGAACAGGATGTATTTCTGCCAAAAGCCTTTGGGTTCTGAGATTCGTTTCTGAGTCTCTGGGATCATGGCCATTAAGCTGTTCAATCAGGAACCAGAGAGGCCTTGCCTCCAATTATATAGCTGAGCCGGAGGTGGTTTGTGGGTGTGTTTCCCACATACCTAACTTTTGGCCGTTTACTTTCTTGGTAAACTTTGCCCCAAGTTTTTGGGGTCTGGCCAAAGGCACAGCAGCAATTTTGGGGTATTTGGAAGTCTGAAGGTGCCATCGGGCTGTTACTGCACTCGCCTCACAGGTACAGATTGACCTGTTGGTGGCACCATACCCCCCACAATATATCTATTATTTCCTTTTCTTGTTCTACTGTAAAGTAAAGTAAAGGCCATCCCGTTGATCATTGATTTGCTCGAGCGGGCCCAGTAACGTCTCCATTGGAGACTTTGTTGTTACTGTGTCTGGCATATTGAATACTCTCGGTAGCTTGCCGAGCTCTCCGAGAGGGGAGGAGGAATCGAACTTGGGTCGGCCATGTTGGCTGCGTGCAAGGCAGACGCCCTATTTCTACAATGATGTTGAATACTAAAAGTGAGAAAGCATTTTCTTGCATGGGCCCAAAATTAGGGATAAACCTGATTTTCATCCTAAAATAGAATGTTAACTAAAAGATTTTTTCCAAAGAGATATCTTAACCATGTTTAGAAATTTTTTTCATACTCCAGATTTGCGGGTTTCTTTTTGGTACTGTGAGTGGGTATTTTGTCAAATACTTTTTCCCCTTTAGGTTAAAAATAATCGTGTTTCATCTTTTATAGCCTGTTGACTTGATGTATTTGCATTGATTTAGATTTTGAATGTTGAGCCAGTTTTGTAGCCTTGGAATAGGCCCCACTTTGCCAGAGAATATAATTATTATTGCTGTCTTTGTTAAGGTGATTTTCCTCTAATTCTATGTAGCTTATGATATGTAGTTTTCTTTCCTTGTTCATTTGTTTCTCCTGTCATTGTCTGGTATTCTAGATTATATTGGCCACCCATCCAGCATGTATTAAAAGGTGTTCTCTATAATTTGGAAGGGTGTAAAATAGGCGGTTTTTTTTTTTTTGTTTTTTTTTTTTGCTTTTTGGGTCACACCTGGTGATGCTGAGGGGTTATTTCTGGCTCTGCACTCAGGAATTACTCCTAGTTCAGGGGACCATATGGGATGCTGGGAATCAAACCCGGGTCGGCCGTGTGCAAGGCAAAGGCAAATGCCCTACCCACTGAGCTATCACTCCAGCCCCAAAATAGGAGTTCTTTTAATATTTGGTAGACTTTTTTTTTCCTTGGGGGGGGGGGCTTTGTTGTCGAAGATCAAATCCAGGTCTGCTGATTGCAAGGCAAGGCCTACCCACTATACCATCTCTCCAACCTCATTTGGTCGATTGCTTTAGTGAAATATTTAGGAATCTGACTTTCAGCGACCTTTATTTTGGGGATGAGGGGGAGATCACACTCGTCAATGCTCAGAGGTTAGAGGTTATTCCTGGCTCTGTACTCAGGAATCACTCCTGGCGGGACACTAGGGACCATATGGTATGCTACGTATTGAACCCAGCTCAGCTATGTGCAAGTCAGTTGCCCTGCATGCTGTACTGTCGCTCCAGCCCTAGGTGTTTTTGTTTGGGGGCCATACCTGGCAATGCTCAGAGTTACTCCTGGCTTTGCACTCAGAAATTATTCCTGGCAGTGCTAGGGTGTGGAGTTCAAACCCAGATCAGCCACATGCAAGGCAAATGCCTAACCCGCTGTACTATCTCTCCAGCCACATTGATCAATTGCTTTAGTGAAATATTTAGGTATTGAAATTTCAGTTGCTTTTTAATTATGTATTTTATTTAATATGTGTAGAAATCAGTATATTTCATATCGGATGAATTTTTAGTTTTTCATTTTCTGGCTTTTAC